TATCTTCTTGTTCATCCATGATGTGAGCAATGGTTGCATCCGTGGTAGCCATGGTCACATCATCCAGTCACTCAGACCAACCTTGGCTTGCTCAGACCGGTATCGGCTCTGGTGGCTCTAGATTGCCAAGTCATTTATGGCCGCCCAACTGACTCGCTAGGCGCCCAATTAGACCGAGTCGGGCTCAATCAGACTGGCCCAGACACTACGATTAGACCGGTCAGATTCTCCGATAAGACCTACCGGGGACATAAAAGATAGATGAATGAAAAACGAACCAAGCACCCTCATGCATATGTCCTAATGTGGTATTTTGATCACTTCGAAGTTACTACCCATCTTGAGAGTACGTCAAAACTAGAAATAAAACCTAGCAAATTCAATCCCTCAACATCTCGATCAATAAAAACGAAAAGCAAGATTAATCAACACCACAAATGGCTCTCCGTTGACGATTTGTGTTTGAAGCCCGACACTGATGGCTATTGTCAGTGACGGCATGAAGTACTAGCCCGTTACGGAGGTGTTTTGCCCAAACTAATGGCCTGTTTGGGGAGCTTTAGATTCTGAGAAGTAGCTGTTTGGTAGCCAGCTTCTGAGAATCTGGAAAAGCTCTAAAACCCAGCTTCTAACTTCTTAGTTTATTTTTCAGAATCTATAACTACATATTCTCAGAAGCTGTGGACTGTTTGAGGCAGCTTCTAGCGGAAGCATCTTTTGGGAAAAGCTGCAGCTGGGACAAGCTCCCCCAAACAGGATTGCATCATTCACTATTCAGATATAGCCATTGGCTGTGTTTGCAACCCCACGTTCCCAACCCCTCTCGCTCATTTTTCACGCGCACACTTTTCAAACTACTAAACGGTGTATTTTTTGCAAAAATTTTCTATATGAAAGTTGCTTTAAAAAATCAAATTAATCCATTTTTAAAAAAAATAGCCAATATTTAATTAATCATGTGTTAAAAGGCTGCTCCGTTTTGCGTGCAGGAGGGATGGGCCATCTTGCACTTGCGAACACACCATCGTCCTCCAGCCGACGCCCTCGCCACCCCCGCTTCGTTCTCCACCGAGTTCGGCGACGTGGCCTCGTCCTCCACTGAGCCCGACCGCCGCTACCATGTTCTCCCTCGAGCTAGCCCCTGCCACCTCGTTCTCCACCGAGCCCGGTCCCCGCCAGGTAGTTTCCACCGAGCCTCAAGTCAATGTGCCACGTGGGTGCCTTTAGCTTAAACCGTCATCCAAAACCATCTTGGGACTATATTTGCACTGGTTTTAATAAATGAGGGATGCATTATACCCAGTTTTGTGGTTGAGGGATGAGATCCAATCTCGAGACTTAGACGAGAGGGACCTCAAGTGGACTTATTCCTTGTGCAGATGATTACCTATCCTGGACTGCTGGGCTAGACATGGTAACTTCATATGGACCGGTTACTTGGGCCACCACTCATCACAGCGGATTGTTGTAATCCAGCAACTTTCACTAACGTGTAATCCAATTTATGCGCGCACGTTTTCTCCTAACCAGCGATCAATTACCAGTCGTCCGATGCACACATATATGTTGCTTCCGGAAATCTAACTTAATTAGTGCACAGTCCATCAAGCAAGCAAAATATATATTTCTACCACCTAAGCTTCAAAAAAAAATTTCTCTTAACCTACTTATCTAATCTACGATCCGATTACATCATTGTGTTAGCTACAGGTAATTTTTAATAACAAAATTTAGATGATTATATTTTAATCAAAGATTAGAGATTACTTTTATAATATATTTAAATTACTTTTTTTGACATATAAAAGTAAATTCAATAAAGTCTAAAAGTAATTTAGATATATAATAAAAATAACTTAAAACAAAATGAGAGTACATTCTTACGGTATTTAAAGTAAATCTATTGTGGGGGCTAAAAACATGTATCTAAAACTTAAATTTAATTAACAAATTGTATTACTTACCAATAAAGTAAACTATTCACAACATTATCAATGTCGAAAAAGTAATTTAATCAAATAAAAAAGTAATATTTTGTTTCTTTTATTAGAATATAATCATGTTATATCTTTTTATAAAGACTTATTTATACTGAATATGATGATGTAATTGGATTGTTCATTTGATAAGTAATTCATGGACATTTTGCTTGAAATCCTAGGTGTTAAGAATCTTTTCCTTATTATATGAATGTATACTCTCACTTAGGAATGTAAGAACGAGATACATGTTAACTTTATTATATATCAATTGTTAGGATAGTAGTTGGTTAACACTAATTAGTGCACATACAACCTGTCACTTCACTAATGAATTAATTACCAATCTAAGTAAAAGCAAAAAAGGAGAAGGAGAAATTGCAAAATACTCACTTGTAATTTGATATTCTATCCCATAAGTCATTTTGTTGCAAATACTCGCTAGTCCCTACTCTGTTTTGTTGTTAAAAAAAACATCCTAGTGCGCGCGTGCTTAACTGAATAAGCTCGGTGTCACTGAGATAGAATAGGCTAAGCTAACCAAGTCAATCTTATCGAAGTACTTGTATTAGATTTATTCTTCATGTTTCGTTGAACTTTTTTTTTGGATATAGCGAAACTCAGTTTGACAGCATTTAAGCTCTCGTCAGCATTTATATGTGAGTAATCTCTTAAAAAGTGGCAAGACTATGTTGCAGAAGTATTAAATTTTTACAAAGAACATATTGACTGCTCATAACTTATGAAAACATGTTGATGGTTTTTGCACAAAATGAAATAGGTGGGTGGGCATTTGTAATAAAATTACTTATGGGTGAAATACCAAACTTTAAGTGACTTATGGGATGATTTTTTGCAATTTTTACAAACGAGAAAGAAAAAGAAAAGAAAAGAGCATGCAAATCATGCGGGCAATGAAAATTAACCTTCGGAGGGGCCACCACGAGCAATTTGCACGGCATATTTTGCCGACTGCGCAGGACAGAATTAGGACAGCCGTACAGGTGCAATTAAGCATCTTTATCGCTGTCCATTTTACCGTACCTCGTACAATTTTAATGCCAAATTATGTATACCTGCCCACGACCTAAAAGCTGATACAACTGATGCTTCTTGTTAACAAGAAAATCTAGCGATTGCATCAGTGAGCAAGAAAAACTATACTTGCTTCTTGTTCAAGATCTGTAAGCATTGGTGTATCCCTCTTTTATTTTTTTTCCTTTAGTTTTGGGGAAAAAGGAAGCCGTCTAATTAAGCGGTTATACAAGAGTACATATTAAAAAGACCAAGAGAATAAAAGAGGAAAAGATAAAGAGGAATTAGAGGAGTTCGAAGAACCACTTGGACAGAAGCTGAAATTAATAAGGGGATATATATTTCATCCTTGACAAGTATAAAACTTCCTCCGTTTCATAATGTAAGTCATTCTAGTATTTCGTATATTCATATTGATATTAATGAATCTAGATAGATATATATGTAGATTCATTAACATCAATATAAATGTGGAAAATGCTAGAATGACTTACATTGTAAAACGGAGGGAGTAGCAAATTCTCCCTGAAATTACACCTCCAAGGATCACCATGTGGCTGATGAATATACTAATATGAAATTAAGAGCCCTGCTTCCAAATAACGCCAGGAAGTTATTAAGAAGATTTTCCTAAACCGTTTCACTTTGGATCTTATTTTTTGTAGGTCGCTTTTGATCTTCTTTTTTATTAAGTTTGGTATTCTTTCGCTAAATAAAGATATAAGAGGTGTTTTTTTATGCTATCACAAAATAGGCACACGCATGCACACGACTACACACCCACTCACACTCGCGCACCCGCAAATGCACCTACAACACACACTCAAAAACAGATTGGAAATAGTGTGATTTAATTACTCTGGTGGCATGTTGTGATACTATATACAAGATGTGAGCTGAACATCTGGTGAATTCTTTCACTGTAGGATTGCTTAAAGAGAATTCATATTGTTGGACAATCGCCATCATATAGTATGCTAGTTAACCATAGCTAAGGGAATGTCATGTGTACTTTTCCCACAGCACTATTAGCAGGCACCAATAGTGCAACTGTAATTACTCCAAATTAAAGGCCATGTGCTAAGTACAACGGTACAAGGTCCTCCGTAAGTTAAACGAGATCCGACATGCTAGAATCACTGAATTGAATCGTGTCTGTCGCTCGACAAAATTGCTATGCAACCATCAGCTGCTTTATGATCAATGTGTATCGTACAGTCCTCTAAGTATTTAGATTTTACAATAAAAATTTTACCTCAGGTATCCGAAGGTACCAAGTTTTACACTATACTCTTGGTATATCTGTATTTTCTAAAGGATGGCAAAATTACCTATTTGATTAACTGAAAATTGTATTGACAAAATCAAATCAAAGGAGTTATCAGGCTGTTACAGTGCAAGACTAATCACTTAGGACTTGTTCGGATTATAAGATAGGAAAAACATACGATATGAAAAATATAGGAATAGGAAAGGAATCTAGATGTAAAATAGAGGAATGAAAAACAAAGGAATACAAAAATTGAGAGCATTTGGATCACAGAAAATTGATTGCCAAGGATTTACATACAGGAAGTGAAAAAAAGAGCTTGAGGTGGATGGATTTTTCCTGTGAAATCAGTATCAAAGGAAACTTTCCTTTGGATTTCCTATGAAAACTAAACAAAGGAATACAAAAATTGAGATGGATTTCCTATGAAAACTAAACAAAGAAATACAAAAATTGAGAGCATTCGGATCACGGGAAATTGATTGCCAAAGATTTGCATGCAGAAAGTGAAAAAAAGAGCTTGAGGTGGATGGATTTTTCCTGTACTTTTCCTGTGAAATCAGTATCAAAGGAAACTTTCCTTTGGATTTCCTATAACCAGTTTTCATGATCCGAATGACAGGAAATGAAAAAATTCCTATGCACAGTATTCCTCCAAAAATCCTATGAAGATCCTCTAATCCGAATAAGCCCTTAATTTCGTTATTAATACATCATTGACATCGTTGAACACAGTTTATTTTGATGAACCCCCAAAAGGACCAACTATGATTGTCCATCTCTCTGATTGTTATATATGCAAATCCATTTGGCATCTACTGATATAAAAAAGAAAAAAAACTGATTTTGTAATACAACCATTTCTCGTTTCATCTCGGTTGAGGGATCAATAAAAGTTACTTTGACACAGCATTATCTTTACATGTGACAAAAATGATCATACAAACTATGACATGCAAATATTGTTTGACTCAACATGAGGCCAGGATGAAGAAATTCATTTCATCTTCTTATTTTTTAACAAGGAAGAAACTCATTCTACTTCTTAACAAGTAAGGGCCCCACATTATCACCCGTTGCTTTGTTGTGCTTCACATGGCTTCCATCACAAAGGGGAAATGTGCCTGATCTCCAGCACCTGTAACGTGACAACAAAATCAATCTATATCAGTAATTCAGTATAATACCAGTTGGAACTTGGAACTGAAATGCAAATGAAGTTCCTCAGACTCAAGAGAAATATAAGGTTTGTATTCTGAATCACTATCGCCATGCAGAATTTTCACAAATGCATAAAGCATGCATCCACAGAAAGAGCATTGCAAAGTGTTCTCTCTATCACTCTGTGTATGTGAAACCATAAACAGGGCAAAACTCATACATTCATAATAGTACGATTCAGTAAAACTATTGGTACGCGTGATTATGGTTGCTGGCAGTTACAAACTCCAAGGGAAACATCATGATCTGAGGTTCTTACCATCCTAAGATCGAAAGGATCATTCATATGAATGCAATAATTCCTTTAGAGATCTAAGGCCTTCTCGGCTGGCTGTGCTGTGGCTGCACCCCTAACATACCAGAGCATAGAAATGTCTTGTACTATACTGGCGGAAAAAAATAACACCTCATACAGTCACAGATTCACAGTAGATGAAGTGACAAAAAAAGATGGTCTACTTTACTTTACTTTGATTATTATAACTTCTATAAGATATAAACGTATATACATAGAAGATGGCCAATGTATTTCTTGCAGAGAAAAAGTGTTGGGACTTGTGAGTGAAAGTAAAACTAGAAATATCTCTAATATAACAAATAAGAGTATCATACATGAGTACATGACTATCTTCTGAATCTGTTTTTTTAGAAAAAGGTTTTTTTTTACCCGGCCTCTACATCCAATCGAGATATATGCAGCCATTTTAAATTAGCAACTTAGCCATCAAATAACCCAATCTAAAATTCGCTCCTATGGAGATTTAAACTCAGGACCTTAGATGCTACTCAGATTACTACAACCACTAGGCTACATGCTCTTTCACTAATCTGTTTATTTTTAAGGGTCAATCTCAAAGTAAACTGAAACAAAAAAATTGCTTCTGTTTTATCCTAAAAATAAAGCTATCTATGTTCGAGTACTGGGATCGCACTCGGTTCAAGTCGCACTGAAAACAAACGCCTACAAACTCTGATTATCTTACGAGCCAGCAATTTGCTACGAGTACCCTCTATCTTTGAATTCTCGATTAATTTACCAAGCGCGCTGATTTAGTCATTTTAAAGAGGTAAAAAGCAGAGCTTAGAGATTAGATTATACAACTGGCTCATGTTGAATGGTTGGTGATTTTAACGAGAGCGAAATCACTCCGATCGACGAACTGAAATTCACCGAACCCTTCCCGATTGGTGCACCAAAGAGAGCGAGGAGGGTGGGGTGGGGAGGGCCGTACCGGCAGTACGGGGTGAGCGGCTTGGAGAGCTCGCCGGCGAGGACAGTGTCGACCACCTTCTCCTCCTCCTTCCGGATGGACGGGTTTATCCCGCCGACCCCCGCCTCCGCGCGCACCGCCACCACCAGGCCACGCCGGGCGAGGGCGCGGGCGCGGCCGGGCGCCGACGGCGCCGCGTTGGGCGGGGAGATGGAGAGGCGGCACGCGGCGGCGCAGAACGGGGTCGCCATGGTTGTTGGGTTTGGCTCGCGCAGGGGGGTTTCTTGGGGTTGGTGGATGGATGGAGTGATCGGTGGGGGGAGACGAGACGTGGATGGGTTTTGTGAGTAGGCGTGGCCGCGCGGAGGATTTGGGGTGTGTGGCGAGCACGGGCCGCGGGAGAGGCACAGAGCCAGATGGGATGGATTGGCGTCGGCTTCGTCTCCGATCACCACGTGTGTTGTGTACCTGCTGCTATCGTTTGCTTCCAGTGGTAAAAAAAAAAAAAAAAAAAAAAAAAAAAAAAGGCAATTGTGCATTTGACTCTCGTTTGAAAGCTAACTACCAATTTGACCATATCATTGGACCCTTTTTTTCTCAAAATTGAAGTTTCGGTCTAACCCTATTCTGTTAAGAACATGTAACGGTGTTAACTGAAGCACAAACACAAAATGTCTCTTTATGCCCTTGCTTTTTTAACCCTATTATACGTGGGACCCACCCGTCACTTCTCTCTTCTCTCTTCTCTTCTCTTCTCTTCTCTTCTCCACTCCACTCCACTCGCCCGAGCACCGCCGCCACTCCTCGTCGCCGCCTGCCACAGCCCGAGCACCGCCACCACTCATCGTTGTCACCTGCCACAGCCCGAGCACCGTTGCCGATGAGGAAGCCATCGTCTGTCACGCCCAGAAATTTAGCCCAAATTTCCAGACTATTTTGTGTATTAAATCTCTGTCCAGGACCAGCCAGGGTACACAAAACGACAAGTAATACACAGTTCCAAACGTAAATAAAGCGTAAAATACTTACAGAAGAGGCACTTAGTCCTCACACCGAAACAAAAGCAGCAGCAGCGGAAAAAAAACGATCCTAGCGGGCCTTCAGCTCCACTCCACAGGCAAAACTCAACTGGGGTCTGAGCCTTGGTCCTCTAACTCCATCTTCAGCTCAGAAGCACTACACTTCTGAAAAGGGGGAATAATAGCAAGGCTGAGTACAACCACCGTACTCAGCAAGCCACACCAATGATGCAGACGTGCAAAGGGATACAAGGATGGTTTGTGGCTATTTGCATAAAGGCGGTTGTAAAACATTTTATTTAGCAAACAGTAAAACTGTTGAATAATTAAAGTAACATTAAAATCTCCACTGATCAACGCTACACCACGTTGAACAGGCCCAACCAACCCACCTGTACTACAGTGCATTGGGTCGATTTATTAAGTGTGAGACTAATCACGGTGAATCTGGTCGATCGCCCATAACCACGGGCACGGCTATTCGAATAGTTTTACTCTGGCCAGAGGTGCACAACTGTACCCATAAGACACAACCCACCAACATGTCACCGCGTCATCATGTGCCCATGATGCACACGTCACCGTGTCGAGTGATTGTGATGAGACCCTTCGCATAACCCTCCCCTAACCATCCACACCACGCTAAGGTTTCACCCCCACCCCTCAAAAGGCAGTGGGCGGTCCCCTCTTGCGCCGCGGTGAATCCGGCAGCTGGACAACCGGACACCCCGGCCGACCCAACTCCATCACGCCCACCCTCGCCACCGGTGCCTAGGAAAGGGTCGAGCTATACTTCAGATCAAGCAGTTACCCACTCCCGCTTGTGGCAAGCGCTGTAAGTCTTCCAGGGTTTCCCGTGAACCGGTCCTTAATTGCCATGGGTGCGACTCACAAAACCATGCACCCACAGCCCACCATTCAGTCGCATTTTAGTTGGATAATTACGACCATAAAACATGGCCAGATGTCTCGAGCACGCGGCTCAACAAGATACTAGAATGTCTAATACTGCAATTATCCCATCGACTGAGCTAGTGGTAATTAAGCATGGCTAAGCATATAGTTCTAGCTAGGTCACATAAGTAACACGAGCTAGTCAATTTATTACCCAAGGTTGACAAAGAACAGATATCAAGTAAACATGGCACAAGCGAGCAGATAGGTAAACCCTGACCCCGTGTAATTAGCAAAACATGCATATTTATTTGTAAACGGTAAAACATTTATAAATTGGGATCAACATGCTCAAGGAGAATGTGTGACTTGCCTTGCTTCTTCACTTTGATCTTCTAAACTCTTTTCCTCGCGACCGCGGACTTCCGAAACGACGGAAACTACACGCTGGCACGCAAAACGAGGAAAAACTCTAATAAAAACCAAGAAAACAGTACATAAAAAGTAAACAAACATGTAGAGCTTAATTTTAGATGAATTTTGCAAGTTGAATGGCTCAATTTGGAGTTCGAATGAATTAGATATGAATTTTAGAAGGTTTTGAGCCATTTTAATGAATTTCTAGAATTATTACCGATTTATTGCGCAATTTAAATCAATTATGACGTCATCCGACGGGGGAGAGGTGGCGCCGGCAAGTGGGCCCCACCTGTCGGTGACTCACGGGTGGCGGGCGCACCGTGGACCGAGTCCACGCACGCGCTGGTCCGCGGGCGCACCACGTGGCAGACACGTGGCGGCCACGACGGACGGCTAGCGGAGGTGGCGCCGACGTGGCGCCACAGAGGCACCGACGCGGGCGGCACGGGAAGGCCACGTGGACGGCCCAGATCGCCCCGAAGGAGGATCGGGCGGCCACGGGCGAGCTGGAGCCGGCTCACCGGTCGGCCGGCCGGGAGCGACGGCGCACGGCCCGATGGTCGCCGGCGACGACCACCGGCGCGAAGGCACGCGCGGGAGGCGGCGAAAAGAGGGAAAAGGGAGAGGAGACGGAGGGGGTCCTCACCGAGGAGCGCCGGCGACGGGACGACCATGGGGAGGCGACCGGCGGCGGAAAGGATGGCGGCGGCCGGCACGGGAGGCGACGGGAACGGCGTTCCGACGACGCCCGACCATGGCGGAGCCGCGGCCGAGGGCCAGCAAGACCTGGGGAAATTATTAGAGCAGTTAGGGAGGGAAATAGGCGACCGGAGCGGCGAGAATACCTCGCCGGAGAGGAGAGGAATGGTGGGGCTCACCGGCGACCGAGAGATACCACGTTCCGGTGGGTTTCCGGCGATGAACAATGGTGACCGAGGTGCTGCACGGCGCTGCAAGGCGAGAGGTGAAGACGGAGCGACGCGGCGGCGGCTAAGGCGACGGTGGCACACGGCTGGAGGCGGCGTATGGTGGAGGTGGCTCGGGATGCACGGTGGAAGGGTGGTTGCGGTGGTGGAATGGGGAAACGGAGCGGAGGCCGGGGTAGATCTTGGCACGGCGTTGCCGACGGCGCAAGCGGCGAGGTGCGGCGACGACTAACGCGGCGGCAGCGGCCGGCTGAAGGCGGTGTGTGGCGGTAGTGGCTCGGCCTCGTGATGGGAAGGTGGTTCCGGCGGTGGAGGAGGGAGATGGAGTGGATGCCGGGGTGCGGCGAGGCGCTGTGATGCTATTGGTGGCGGCGGCGCAGCGCGGCAGCGACGGGAGCGGCGGTGGCGGGCGGCTGGAGATCGCCGGCGAGCGGCGGCGAAGGGGATCGGCGTGGAGAGCTCGGTAGAGAGCGTGGGGGACTCGGGAAAACGGGGAAAAAGGAAGAGGAGTCCACGGGGATTGATTTTATAGCTCAAGGGGGCGAGGAGAGGGCCGGGGAGCGGCGGATTTCGAGGGGAAGTGGGGCGGCGTCGTGGGGGAGAGAGACGCGGGAGGCGGCGACGTGGCCGGATTTTGCGGGGAGAGTGGGGGGAAACGGCGCGGACGTGGGCGGCGAGGTCCCACGGACAAACGCGCGCGCGCGGGGTGGAGGAGGTGGGCGGAAACGGCGGCGACGTTGGACGGCTCGGGCGGCCATGGCGGTTGCTGGCCCGGGCCGGAGGTTGGGGGTGACCCCGACAGGTGGGGCCCACCTGTCGGCGGCTCGGGGAGAGGAGGGAGGATGAGGGAGGCGAAGCGGACTTGCGCGAAGGAGGGGGCAAGCCGGGCCGACGGCCCAAAGAGAAGGGAGGAGGGGAAAAGGAGGGCGGCCGGGCCCGAGAGGATGGAGAGGGAGAAGATCTTGAGCCGAAAGCGGCCCAAAGACAAAGAGGGGAAATTTTATTTGTTTTCTTTTTATTTTAATTGATGCAATGATCTTTGTGCTATTAAAACTATTTCTCGAGCTCCGAAAATTCACGGAAAATTCCGGAGAGTACATTAGGGCACAAAGAATATTACAAAATATTCCCGGCCAATGATTTTTAAGGGAAAATTTTAATTCTCCCAATAATTCACTTGATTAAATTGCTTAACTTTTTTTATTTATATTCTAGGAAATGCATTATTTAATGATTTTTAAACCCGAACGAAAATCGGGGCGTTACATTGTCGCCCCTTCCCCATCAGATCCAGTGGTCCTAGCTCGAGCTCTACCGCCGAGCCCACCGCCGCAGTTCCTCCTCATCGTCGCTGAGCTGTCATCGCCCCTTCCCCGCCGGATCCAGCCGTCCTAGCTCGATCTCCACCGACGGGCCCATCGCCACCGCTCCTTGTCGTCGCTGAACCGCCGTCGCCCCTCCTTCACCGGATCCACCGGTCGCAGCCCGAGCTCCGCCCGGGCCTGCCACTGCCGCTCCTCCTCCTCGTCACTAAGACGTCGTCGACCCTCCCTCCCCCGCCGCCTCACGAACCCGAGCCTCGGCCCCACTCTCCCTCCCTCCAAGCCCTACCGCCGCCACCCTACCTCCACGAGCCAGCGCTGGCGCAGATCCCCTCAATCCGGGCCCTACCACCGTCGCCGCTCCCTCCACGAGCCGCCACTGGCGCCGGATCCACTCCCTTCGCGCCCCCCGCGACGGCCCCTCCTTCCACATGCCGGTGCACCTTGTTCTCCTCCATGCGCCGCCGCCGCTGGTACGAGAGAGAGAGGGAGAGAGAAACGGGAGTACGGAACTATTCTGATAGGGTTAGACAGGGATAGGGTTTTCTCGAGGGTATTTTGGTCTTTACGAATAATAATTGTATTTCTTTATTATTTTTAATTCAAACCATAACGATGAAATGGAAACAGGGTCAGACGGTAGGTTCGTTTTAGAAAAGCAGGGTCAAAAACGCAAAGTACAAAAAGAAGGGTCAGATTGAAAGAAGGGTCAGATTGGTATAGGCATCGAAACGGAGTCAAATAAGCAATTGTCCCATACTAAAAATGTTTGTAGGATAGTAAAGAAAAAAGAAAAAAAACTCGAATCTATAAAAAACATGGTTTCACAAGTGGTAGTATACTGCTTGGAAGTGGACGTAGCTCAACTGGTTAGGTTTCTTATTGTGGAATCGGTTCATCCAGGTTTAAGCTCTAGATTTTATACATATACTCGTATTTACGATTATTATTCTTTCAGTGGTAGATAGTGAGGCATCTGTTGTGACTTTGTTAGTCTCGAGATATGTCGGTCCAGTCTATGTGTTCATAGCAGTGACTGTGTGCATGTTATGAACGTCTACTTTGTACTCCCTCCGCCCCTAAAAAATCAATCTATTATCAAACGTGACACATTCTAGTACTAAGAATATGGACATATCTTTGTCCAAATTTGTTACAGAAACCAAGTTAAACTTGTATTTTTGAGTTTTATCTATACTAAAGTAAAAAACAGAGCCGTCATCCTCCTCTCCTCCCTAACCATCACACTTTCCCCACACTACAAACATAAATAACTGGAAGGGTCAATTAGGCCTGGAGTAGGGTGAATTGGTGATTAATTCCGAAAATCAGAGATAAAGAAAAAACATAAAGTCAACTAGATATAGCTAGGCACTAGTAAAGTAGGAATGCACAAACAGAGTCTACAAGCGGTAGAAGGGAGAAAAGCTAGAGGAGTAAGAGAAGGATTTCACCGAGATTGTTGCAAGACCATGTGTTCCCGAATTTCGAATCCTTGAGGGGATTCTACTATTCATTGAGGATCTCACAAAGAGTAGGGCCTTCTCCAACCTTTTCCTAGAGGTTGCACAAATGCATTCCTCTTCCACTACTCGTATCCCTTTTCCTTTCGGAGATGAGATCCGGCCTTTACAAACTTCTGTGACCAACCACAAGTAGATCGGTGGCTCAAAGGCAACACCTAGCCATCTAGGAGTCCTCAACCTCCAAGAGTAAAAGATGAAGCAAAGATCTCGTCGAGATGAATCAAGTGCTTAACAAATCTTCATGAAGTCAATACCAAGCACTCACACAATCTCTGATGATGCTCTCTCTCGTGGCCCGATCTTCTGGTGAGGGGGATAACTCTTGCTTTGATTGAGTGCGACGTTTGCGACATGGCTACCAACCAGAACAAGTCCAGGACGTCGTGCAATCGCTACACCACAAATGATGTCGTACCAACCGTGACGCGCGGTTGATGATCCCTGCAATGCAAACGAGAGAACACTGCAAGAACAAGATAAGATGCAATCTAAATATTGTGAATAGGTGATTAAGTACAAAGAAATAGTTGCGATTGAAGTGATAGATCTAATCGACCCAGCAAATCAACACACCAACTATTGGGGACTCTGAATCAATAGTCGCTGACTAATCAAGCGAGGACTAGAGACAAAGTGAATGGCACTTGGCAAAATTCAACTAAACAAAACCCAATTGTTTTTGATGATGTACAAAGCTATTTATAGAGGAAAATAAAGCTAGGGTTTAGTGCTAATTCGTGGAGGTGGGAGACACTTCCGAGATGGGCCTAGTCTATTACAAGGCCCAAGGCCCAAGATCGGTTTCAACAACAGCACTGTCTTGTTTTGGAGATTCCCGTTGACTCGAGATGAATTTGGACATGAGACCAGATGCGTTTGAAAGGTAGCGAGACAAGCTTTCCATGAAGTCCAAGATCACCCAAATCGGAGTTTGCATGAAAGCGCTAGGTCCATTTAAAGTTAGTGCTGTCTCCGGAGGCCGAACTGGACTTGGACTTGGAATTATCATTGGAACGTGTGAAGTTATGAGTGTATCCGACGAAGTGATGTCCTCATCAATCTCAAATCAATCACTCTCTCTCTCTCTCTCTCTCACACACACACACAAAACCAAAATGAGAAAACAAGGCTCAAAATGAATCTCAAAGCAAAGCAAGCCAAGGGAAAAAAGTTTTCAACGGGAGCAATAACCCTAGCTTGGAGGTGGAGGGGGCTATTTATAAACCGTACCCTCGTATCTGCCTATTTTGAAGGGGGGAGTGATTCCCTTTTTAGAAATTCCGAACAATATAAAGTCACAAAACCTAGACAAATCAACATTGCGAAAGTTCCAAAAATATTTTCGGAAGATTTGAAAATCACCAGAAGCAAAACTGCACTTTCGAAAATTACGAAATGAATTTTCCATTTGAAAAATCACCGGAGAGCAAGTTGTTGGCCACGACACTTTCAGAAATTCCAAAACAAACTTCCAAAAATCACCAAAGAGCGAATTCGGAGCTTTTGAAAATCACTTTTGGAATTTTCAAAAATTACCAGAAGCAAAATTTCAAGAATGAGAAATACTTCAACAAAGGTTTTGAGCACCAAACTCATTCATAGACATCAAGGCAACATCCCTCTTAATAATACGACTTTGCTATTGATTGTATGAAAAAAAATTATATTTTACCATTTGAATCTTTGCCTTTTTTCATATCCTTGCAACACAAACAGTTATGGCCTTGAACATCGACTCATAGAGGACTCCTCTGTAATTGCTTCACATATACTTAAATAAAAAGTTAGTCATTACTAATCGCATTGTCATTAACCACCAAAATGATTAGGAACCTAGGTGCACTTTCAATAACCAATCTACCAAGAAAACTGGTGATCCTAGTAAAAATCGATCCACCGAAAAATTTGGATAGAAAAAATGAACACCCTTAAGATCATTTATTCATCTTTCCCCCGACCCCATTGTTACACACGAAAAATTGAACACCCTTAAGATCACTTGTTCGTCTTTCCTCCGACTCCGTTGTTACACACATGCATGGCACTAGGGATGAAAAACAGATGGAAAAACAGCTCTCTACCATTTTCGTTTCATTTTTTTAATCAGAATAGTTATCAAGAACCCCGGATAAAGGTTGGAATCAACTATTATCGAATACAGATACGAAGCGAATGCAATAAAGATTATTTATTGGAACATAACTCTAACTGGCCTTCTCAAATCAACGATGAGATGTAGCTCTTTTTTTTAAAAAATAATATATCAACATTTCTATTTTTTTTATCAATTCATGATACAACTAGTTGTACATTTCACTTTACATAAGAACTACAATAAGCAAGAATTATATTCATAAGTATGGCCTGGCTAATTAAAAAAAAGTCAATGCGTAAAAGAAAAACATATTAAAGCACCGGATTAGAAAAAAATATTTCCATTCAACTAACCACCTCAATACTCACTACAGTTCGAAAACTTTCCGAACCATTTTCATCCCTACATGGCACTAGTTTTTATACTACATATATCCCAAAATAATTATAATTCTAGGTTATTTAGCATATATTGAGGTTTGAAAGAAAAGAAAAGACTATGGTGCCACTCATAAAATGGTGTATAGGTAAGAATAGAAGG